AAGTTATGAATTTCTCGAAATATCTGTGCTTCACAAAATATTAAAAAAGAGTATATATTTCGAGAAATTCATAAGTTCATATTAAAAACTTCAAAACTGATGAAACTTTGAATATGAGATAATCTCATTGAGCTCTTCATGTTTACAAAGTTGCAAGTCAAAGTTGAAAACTATGTTTGTTTTTCTAAAACTGCCTGCCTAGGAGGAATTTGGTAAAAAAAAACATTGTATTAACAAAACTGCATCAGAAATCGGAATCCTTTGAAGACTATAACGTTCTGATAGTACTGTACATATGAACACGGTATAATGAGAATTGAAGTCGATTGCTATCAACGATTCTAACCTCTTCGACTATTGTTAGAAAAAGAAAATGAATCAGATGAAATAAATAGAAATGTTTAGTACAGACATACGTCTTCTCTCTTAATTCTATTAATAGTATAAAGTATAAAAAATAATGTTGCAAAACTGTTTAATTTTTGAACATTCTTCGTTATATCTACGGTTAGTAATTTAAAGAACGATGTGGGTGTGGGTGATCTTTTGGTTTAACTGGACACTCACACCCTGTGATACTCCCGAAAAAACGCTTCTAAAATATTTTGGAAGCATTACAGTAATGCGTAACAGTGATTTATCTACTGGACGGGCAACACCTACCCGAAAGTTCGATTTGCCCACCTAAAAAACGAAACCTAGGTAAAACACTAATGTATAAGATCGTACACAATCTTTATCTCGTACCATCACATACATACCATACGAATGCAATTTAAAATTTATGAAAAAACAAGCGATAAAAGTTTTCTGTCCGAAAAGAGAAATTCAAGTGATGACTTCTGTTCGATCTATTGACAGGTACTTAATGCCATATTTTTGAATTAAGAAGAGTAGGGAATTTATATTGGAAGAAAGAGATACACATTCATATTAAGTAAATCAAACCTGATAACAAAAAAAATATCGAATTTACAGAATATCTCATTTATGATTGTATTTGATTTTTTAGGAGTATCAGATACTACAAAATGCTACATTTGTTAAGATTTATTCAGAAAATCTTTTCTTCGAATAGAACAATCGAAAAAAAGTAAAAGATTGTGTTCTTATGATTGTTAGAGTTTCTGTAAGATATTTTTTTTTGAAAGTTATCGATTAAAGAAATGAATTTCCTTTGTTCGTAAATTATTACTATCAATCAAATAAATATAACCACTAATAATCGATTTGTCTTTGAACATATGGACAATTATTAAGAAAGTTTTATTTTAATTCAAGTCTCATCAATTTGAACTTTGAATATGTTCTGTTTGAAATTGATTTTACCTTTAAACATCAATTCGATCAAAATGTTCAAAACATATGAATACAAAATATTTTCCTATTATTGATGTTTACTAATGACTGTAATAAAAAATAGGGATGAACTGCTTCATTACTACTGCAGCATTTATTTTATTGTGATTATAATGACAAACTAGAGGAGTAGCGTTACCACCACCCTCAATACAAATATTAAGAAGAAATTCTAATACACAGAGAAGAAGTATAGTAGAAGAGATGAGAGAAAAGGTAGATATGATGATGCAGCGGTCACCATGTTTATAAGCGGGCAAAAGGTCAGATGACGTGTCCAATGAGAGTGCTTCAACTGTTAGCATAATGACCTCTATTGAATGACCGATGATTTGATATTCGAGTCCTTACAATGATTGTCAATTAAAATAAACAGTCCATTCACTTCTACTTTGTTTATAATATTTCTTCGCTCAAAGATTTGTTCAGTTTAAGCTATGGTAGCTGATTCAACCTATATGCCAACATCTGAAAAATCTTATCCATTTTCAATGGCAGATAGATCAGCATTAAATAAAGAAGAAATACTTATTAAAAATGATAAATTAACAAGTCAAGAACAATGGCATAATGTTCGTCTTTGGTTTTATAATCCAAGAAATCGTGAAGTATGTGGAAGAGATGGCTTAGGATGGGCAAAAATTGCTTTTTCCTATTTTGTATTATTCATGTCTATGGCTGGTATATTTGCATCATTTTCCGGTATTTTTATGGCTATTGTTGATAAACGTATACCACCATATAGAGGAAATTCAAGTGTTTTTGCATTTGATACATTACGACCAAATCCTGGTAAAATAAATAAATAAATAAATAAATTTTCTTTTTGTGTCAATGAATTTTTTTCATGTTAAAGGTCTTGGTTTTCGTCCTCAAATAAGTATTGAAAAAACTTTAATAACATATCGTTCATCACATCGTGATTCATGGGGAAATCATGAAGGTTGGGGTGTTTATAAAGAACAATTAGATCAATATTTAGCTTATTATACTGAAGCTGATGTTCGATATCAACAAGTGATTGATTGTAAAGGACTTTCAATTGAAAAACTTCGTCCACAATTTTATCAAGGAAAATCATGTCTTTTTGATATAAATGTGTTTAACAAGAGTAAAATACCATGCATTACACAGAAAAATTTTGAATATGATCGTGGTCGTCCGTGTGTTCTCTTAAAACTTAATAAAATTTATGATTGGGAACCAATTATATATCAAAATGCTGCTCAAGTACCAGAACAATTAAAAGATAAAGTCATTGATTGAAGAGCATTTTGTTTTTTACGTCAAAACTTTGAAATATCATTTAGCTTTATGGACAAGTGAATTTTCTGATTATATATTAGTTGAATGTAATGGAAAAAATGATATTGATCGAGATTTTATCTATGAAATTGAATATTTTTCCCAAATGAATACAAAAACAATAGGTGGATTTCATCAGAATTTCTTTCCATATGTTAATCAAGATGGTTATCGAAGTCCATTAGTTTTTGTTTATTTTAAAAGAATTGAAACAAATGTTTTAATTAATGTTGAATGTCGTGCTTATGCACAAAACATTGATCATAATGATAGTCTAGAATATAAAACTGGAAGTGTTCATTTTGAACTGATTGTTGAATGAAATCCTCGTTTTTATTATTATTATTATTACTGAATCTTTCATCTTTTATTTTGTGTATATTCTTAAATATTCCATCAAAGTGACCATCTTCTTTGATGATAAACAAATTCATCCTGCTTTTTTTTTGTTCATGACGTTTAGTTTATATCTTCTTGTTTTTTTTCATTTGTACAACGTACTTACTTTTCTTTTTTTATATGCGACTTTTTTTTGTGCAACTTCTAATTGTTTTATATTAATGAGGGAATACACAGAACTGATCAATTGCTTTTGAGTCACGACTATGTCCATTATGTAGATCCTAATGAGTTATGAATATCTTGAAAAGAGTTCGGACCCATAGTTTATTATTGCTGAGATACTACATATTTACGATGATTGTTTAATAGAATGTCGTAGTCCCTCTCAAGAACACCAGAAAATTTAACTTTCGAATTTCGACTTGAAACTTCGCACAGAAATAGGTCTTAGCAAGTTTAGTTTATTGTGAAAGTTTCAGATCTTTTCGTTGTTCCTATCTTGGAAAACGAACATTGAGTCTCCTCTATTTATGAGCGATGTACAAGACACGCTTTTACCATAGTCGTATTTTAGGATAGGAGCAACAAAAAGATCTGAAACTTTCACAATAAACTATACTTGTTAAGACCTATTTCTTTGCAAAGTTTCAAGTTGAAATTCGAAAGTTAGGTTTTCTGGTGTTCTTGAGGGAAACAACGGCATTCTATTAAACAATTATCGTAAAAATACAGTATCTCAGCAATAATAAACTATGGGCCTGAACTCTTTTCAAGGTATTCATAACTCATTAGGAGCTACATAATGGACATACGCTCGAGTCAAAAGTGATTTATCAATCCTATGTCTTCCTTCGTGAGTTTCCTTTTTAATATAATTCCTTATTTTAAGAAAATCTTATTAAGTCACAAAAAAAATTTAATGAACTCGTCATTTTAAAGCGAATAACGAACTGTTAATGATAGCCCTAGATATGGTCAATACGTCGTTGACATCGTGTTCGAGAATATGGTATTTTCGTGAACTGACCCTAAGTCATGTATAATTGATCATATAAAAGGCTATGCTCGATAAATTTGACATGTAAACAGTGTCCCGCTATTTATTCAGGTACGAGCCAACTGTCTTCGATCATCAGGCTTCTAATAGTTTTAATAGTTATGTTATTTACAATTTTATAATAATGTTATTCATGTCTAGATTATTATCAATCTATGATAATTCATGTTTACAACAGCGATCCCATTCAGAAGGTGAGATGATGGATCGAGAACTGGTCATCAGAAACTGTCGCTATACATTCATAAATATTAAATGAGACATAGCCTTCTAGAACAAGATGTTTCATCACTATGCGATGCTCAAAATTTTTTTTATTTTCTATCAGTGTCTTTAGAGTGGTCCAAAATGTATTTCTATATTCTCATATATCAGTGAATCATATTTCTGTTGTACAATTACGTTTTTTAACTATTTCTTCTGAAAATTCGTTTCTTATGGCCCAATTTTAAAGCTTATTTTTTTCTTCGCTTCCTTAGTATGTGTCACACGACTACAACAAATTTCAGCCCGACAGCTTATCAGCTTGTTGAGATAGAGAGGTTCAAGGTAAAAAGTCTACAATTTTTTATGATTCATCATACAAAAAATAAATTTTTTGAAGAAAGAAAAAAAGAAAAAGTAAATAGCACGTTCTGCTCAGCGTCTAACGGCCTACTCAAATATATCACTTGCGAATACAATATTTATCTCTCTTTTATTCGTCTATGACAAAAACATTTACAAACACTTTTTCTTTTTTATGTAGAGAAATACAAAACTTTTTCCAACAGGTGAAGGGATATAGATAGAGACCGGGTGCGTCCTGCCTACGAAAAAGCTTTGTTCAAGTAACCAAATGAGGGTGTGGATGTGGGGTGCAGGTATGGGTATTTGTATCCCTGTCCATCCACACTCACACCCTACTTTTGCATCGTATGTTACTTTAATATGCAGATGAATGAAGATGGACGACGTTTTATAAAACTGATGTGATTGCGGTTTACATGAGAATCTGCGAGTTCCTCTGTTTACGATAGCAAAATTAATAAGACAGTATTTTTGACAGTTAATTTAGCTTCAGAGATATGAGCCAAGAAAAGAAAGAGATCTGTTTGTGAATTAATTTTGATATCTAATGTGTAGAGTTATATATAAAGTGATGCATCATCAGCCGCTGCTTAACAGTCATTTTCTTAGTGTGCACAAATGACAACAGCTTCACTAGCCAATATACAAGTTCAGATGCTCCGTATCGGACTACCAATATGCATCATCATTGGCAATGTCAATAGTGTACTGCGTCTTTTTGTGTTTTTTCAAAACCTAATGAGGAAAAATCCATGCATCATTTTCTTTATTGGCTGCATGCTGACAAATTTAATTTTTATCGATGTTAATATTGTTCCTAATCTATTTAGCAGTTTTGGAACAGATCTATTTGTTTGATATGAAGTTTTTTGTCGTATAAGAATCTACATTAGTTTTGTTACAACAGCTATTCCATCATATCTTCTAGCGATGGCTTGTCTCGATCGAATGCTTATCTCATCACCTAATGTACAAACTCGCTTACGCAGTAGCCGACGTTTTGCTTTACTGACGACTGAATTTTTTAGCTTCTTTTGGATTTTCTTTCACTTGTATGCGGGTGTGGGTGTGCGAGTGTGGGTGTGCGAGTGTGGGTGTGGGTGTGGGTGTGGCTGGGTGTGGGTGTGGGGTGTGGGTCTGGGGCTGGGGCTGGGACTGGGTGCAGTTAGAGAGAAGACTCTCATCCACGTCCACACACCCACACCCACCCGTTGAAGAAAGATTATTTTGATTATTTTCTGATTAAGAACGGCTTCTAATCGATCGAAGTTGTATGGTTTTGATTGTTTTGTAATCCAAATGTAGTCGATAATAATACTTAGGTCAGTCCAAAAGTAGTGGCGAAGGTATCGTAATTCCTTATAGAAAGCTCTGAGAAACTTTCTTTCTATATAGTCTGATAGAGAAAAGAATGCTCTATTTTTCTATGCTATGTGATCATACTTCAACTTATTGTTATAATAATAAACTTTCGATAAAGTCTGTTTCGCTTGGAAATGTGCTGGTTGTATAACTACTCATTTCAACAAAGTTAGGAGAGTATGTTTTGAATAACGTTTGAATGGAAGAAGATAGAGAGCTGCGGTTTTCACAGTTGGAAAGAGAAGATGAAGGCGCATCGAATCCCATATTACAAGGATGTTCTGACCACGCTTTTCAAAGATTTTCCATTCACATTTTTGAAAACAACGCTATTTCATGGATTGTTTACATTGAGTTTTCAATTGTCAGGTGTGAATTTAAATCATCAATCAGAGATCCACAGTACTGCGAAAATATTACCGGTCTAAATTCAATCATCCAATATTTATACATATTTTAGTGGGAAGTCTACGTTGTTTTTCTCAAGAATTTCCGAAAAAATCACTTTTTGTTTTTCCTTTTTCTAATGAAAAATTATTTTTCGGAACTTTGAAAATAGATTAATACAAGTCGAGAATTCATACTGGAAACTCATGTAATATAGGATTTGATGCGCCTTCATCTCCTCGTTCCAACTGTGAAAATCGCAGCTCTCTATCTTCTTCCACTCAAAAGTTATTCAAAACATACTCTCCTAACTTTGTTGAAATGAGCAGTTATACAACCAGCACATTTCCAAGCGAAATAGACTTTATCGAAAGTTTATTATTATGACATTAGTTGAAGTATGATCAAATAGCATAGAAAAATAGAGCATTCTTTTCTCTATCAGACTATATAGAAAGAAAGTTTCTCAGAGCTTTCTATAAGGAATTACGATACCTCCGCCACTACTTTTAGACTGACCTAAGTATTTATTCTTTGTGTTTATTTTTGCTCCTTTTTTTACACAAGCGAGACGCAAGAAAACTTTAACAAAACAAATGCTGTTGGCGGCAAAAACTGTTGATTTGTCAGTTAAAAGCTAATCATTTCATGTGACTGTAAACGACAAGTTATGGGCTGTACCCTGTGGTCGTGATAAAACAACGTATCAGTAGTTCGGAAAACGCCCATACCCAGCATTTTCCAAGAAAATGTTTCGAGTCGGAAGTCGGTAAATTTTTCTGGCAGCTTTCCGAATGATTTCTGGCTGTGTATGACAGAAAAGTGAGCGGAAAATTAAAGCGAGTTCCGACCCGGAACACTGCTCGTATGTTCCGGCAATGCCGTCGCATTCCGGCCGCATCTGACTCGTACACTTCGACCTGAGGATCTCTGTTTATTATATAGTGTGTTCACCTTGAAAACACAGGAAGAGAAACAACGTCTTATTCTCTGTTATGAAAATGTGTAAAAAATATTGATAACCTTTCGTTTATTGATTTTTATTTGTTTATTCTGTATTTGATATAATAAGTTTTTTTGTTTGATTTGTTAGATTTTTATTGAATAAATATTGGAAATCAAAGAAAAAAGGACTTTTTAAATCTATTTCTGTGGTAAACATATCTGCAGTACACCGCCATGAATCGTCCGATTCTGTAGTTGCATCAAGCATGCATGTAGTGGGACAAATGGAGAACAACAACGTTGCTACGGTATTGACAACGGTGACCTTGGGTTCCCTCCCTTATGATGTCTTTACTGATGTGTTTGAATAAAACCACTATTGTTTTCTTAACCCAAATAAAATAAAGGAATTGAGTAAGGTTTCCTTCAGAATAAAAAATTCTGAATTTTTATCTCTCTTGAATTGTGAATGAATATGTCATCTACAAAAAAATAAGGTAAAGACAGAATAATGAATCGAAAGTTGATTATTTTTAATTCAAATTTATCATTATATTTATAAACATTGATTATAGCGAGAAGATGACTTACGACAACAAACGTTACTTTTTACAGAAAACCCCAAAATTGATTTTCTTTGTCGTAGATATACTATAGAT